ATGATTAACTGTGCATATCTCTTCACATATATGTTCATGAAGTCAAATGCTAATTATTTTTGGTTATCAAGTCAGATATCAGAACACAGTGTAATTAAGTTAAACCACTTAAGCCTTCAACTTTTAAGGACATTGGAGAAGATTTTTTAAAATCTAGAAGTTTGTCTATAACTTAATTAAAGTAAATAGTTTCATAGCTGTTGGTTTAAAATTTCGATAACATTATTTACAGCAATTCCTTCCACTATGGTGTTATTGTCTGAGTGTCAGATTTCCTGGAGTCTTTGCTTGGATAATTGACATTAGCAGTACTCAAACCTTGCAAAAGAGAACATGTGGCATTTTAAATGAAGAGATACCTTCAAAGCTTGATGGTGCCAGTAACATTAATGATCCTGGAAGAGACACCTGAAAATCTACAGCTATGATTTCTCAGGCATTTAAGATCCTAACAATTTCAAATATGTTTGCAACTGAAAAGACAGGCTTCCTTGACATTTTTTTTGTCACTGAAAATCTTGTCCCCTTCCAGAAAAACACTCCTGAGATGTAAGCCCTGACTTCATTGTCCCACAGCCTCTGAAAGTCCATCTATTTCTTGGCAGCTTACTCTAGAAATCTGTATTTAATCCAGAATACAGTATTATCTGAACAGTATACTGTATCCCCGTATTCTGACATTATTTTCCATTCCTGAGACAAAGGAGCAAATCTGTTTAAACATAAATAACAATTAAAAAGCTATTAAAAATAATGAGCAGCATGTTTCTTTATGAATGTATATTTTTAATTTAAAGACGGAAAAGATAAATTGTTTTATAGTTGAGGACTTGAAAGTCACAAAAAAGCCAAATAAAATGTACCAGATTGGACACAGATTTGTATTCCTGCTTATTTATTACATCCTTTGCATTCTATCTGTTTTGTTTGGTTTTGTTTTATTTATTCTTTACTGAGGTCTGTAACTGCTCTTTGTGTATTCAGTTCATGGTCAGAACTCCATAAGAAAAAAATTAACACCCATTTAATTTATCTCCTTAGGCTTATCTCCTTAGAGCTAAAGCAAGGGCAAGATTTTTTTTTAATCTCAAAGACATTTATTATTTAGATGATTTCCAACTAGCTTTCATTTCTACTTCATGACATAATCCAGCTGAATGGATTTTAGCCCTATTAATTTTGCTATCACCAATACCAATTTCATTTTTCATGTTCATTTTCCAGTAGCTTTGATTCTTATACTATTTATCAGAACCCAGAGACAGGCAACTAGTTTGTTGAAGGAAAAAGAACCCATTTCAAGGCAAGAAGACCAGGTGTCCTTACTTAACCCTCCTTGTCTTTGTGTAGAAGACCTGTTCACACAGCTATTAAAAAAACTCCACTGTTCTATTGCAAACAAACAAACAAGCAAACAAAAACAAAACAAAACAACACAACAACCAGATGCTCCTAATGCTCCAAAAATAATGATAAATTATTTTGAGGTTCCATTTATGATCTAGTTTTTGTAGGTGATAAAAATGGGTAAATGTTCTCAATATTATTTGTCATTATTACATTAAAAATCGCTAAAATCTAATTGCTGGGATAAGTAGCTTTGAATTTGCACTGCTTTTTACATTTCTGAGCTGTGGCTCAGTACCCTCATTTGGAGTACATGTCTTAAAAGAGTAAAGGTGGGAAATAATTTGATACCTGATGTGAGCTCTTGCTTTCAATATCATATTGTTTATTAAAAAGGGATGAACGGTTTTGCTTAGATATTCAAGGGAGGTAAACACTTGATGCTCAATTAAAGCTCGTGAAATTGTGCATTCTGAGGACAGGTATGATCTCTTCCTCCACTTGTAATTAGAATTAAATATGGGAAGCTCAGAACAACAGCAGTGGGAGGAAGAGAAGGTTAGAGTAACAGAGTTAATTTCAGAAGCTTGAAGAAATACTGAATAAATTAAGCTGTTAAAATTAATTTTCTTGCAAGTTAAGAGGTGCTCAGCACAGGTAATTAATTCAGTGAGTTTTAATAAACTAGAATTAGAAACAAATAAGAAATATCTCCTCCTAAAGCAATGGGGAAGATGTGCACCACTATCTTGGCGCAAATACATTGACACAAAGTGGCTTTCTGTGAGTGATGGGCCACAAGGTTTTAGTGATGCTGCTGCATGTGCAGCAAGGTGAGGTGAGATGGTAATCCCTTGGCAAGAGGAGAGCAAGAATGAGAGACTTGGAGCAGTCCACAGTCCATGACCTGGTGAGAAAGAAAAAAATACTAACAAAATGCTTGCCTAAGTTATGGCTCCCTGGCTAGAAATACTCAGTGCCCCGTTTAATAACAGCCTTTGGTGAAAAAGAAATTTTCTTCACATTTGATAATAAACTTCCCAGGTATAGAGCTTTGCGGATGGGACAGCATTGCTTGTGTATTTGTTGAAAAATACAGAAGTATAAATAAGCACAGATTTCCAGGGGGGCTGTTGGTCAGCCATGCTGAGCCACGGCTATTCCTGGGAGAGGGGAGTTGCATTTGCAAGGATTGCATCTCTGGCTGTGGAGGAAGGGAGGCTGAGCTCACTTCAGGCACTGCCGGCACGTGGTTCTGTCACCACAGTCCCACAGAGGTTGTCAGGTGATGTTCTGAGGCTGATTTGTATCTTTCTGATGGTATGTGATGGAAACAGACTGTTACATCCATGGCACAGACTCATCAGCAGTGTTCATTAAAGACCCCTGTCTGTCATTCAGAAGAGTTAGTTATAATCAGCAGTAATATATTCCAGGTAGAGCACAGATCACTTCTAATAAAACTTTCTTCTGTTTTCTCATTTGGTGATCAAAACGATCATTAACATTTTCATCACAGTTCATTCTTCTGCAACAGCCACAGCCACGTTTGTCTCAGATTATCATCTATCTTTCTTTTAATACAATTATGAACTAAATCCTACAGTCTATACTCACTCAGCCATAAGAGTTAGCAATGTATTCCCAAAAAAAAAAAATCAGGATTTGTTTGTATTTGCATTATTTATAAGAGAAGTAGTAGATTCATTTTTTTTTTCAGTGTAATACTGTGTTTTACCTATGCACTTTCTTCCTAAAAGATTCTGTACTATACCTTAAAAATAATTTTATTGTCAAATTCTCATTCTAGCAGAACATCCCAGCTTTTACCAGAACCTTGATGGGAAAGCAAATTAAAGTTGCATAGTGGGAATATATAACACATGAGCTACCTAGTAAAAGAAAGGACATTTGTATATTTTCTATTATATTTATTGTGTTTCACTGCATAACTTACGTTTTGAATAAGTATTTATCTTTCATATAGAGGAAATACTGCTATCAGTCAGGCTTTAATAGGATGGATTTTGTGAATCTACATACCTTAGGGACATCTAAACATAAGAATTAATGGCAAAATCTAGATGTGATGGAATGACTAGTGCTTTTTAAAAATATGATTTGTTTTTTTCAGTTTATGTTTCTCAGTTTCAAAAATAAGCAACATTTCTCTTGCCGTTGTCTTTCCCCCAAATTTAAATAGGTAATTTGACCAAAGATTAGAAAACAAGCAGTTTGTCATATCTGTTAATTCGCAGCAGGAAATCATTGTTTTGACTCTTCAAGTACATAATGTTTTGAAAGTTTAGAGGTTGATATCAGTTAACGCTAATATCAGCTATTAATAGCTGGTATCAGCTATTGGCTCTGTATTTGAAATAATTATTGCGGTGAACCAATAGAACTGGTTTCAGATAAAAATCTGGGGAAGTGAACGTAATAGAAAATTCAAAACAAGAAGACCTGTAAGTATCAGGAATATAAAATGAACCAAAAAATGTGTGGTGTCACATATATCTTATACTTCTCAGATTTTAGTAGCTACCAGCCTTGATTCAACAATACATGCAAGCACCTATATGTAATTAGGAACTTGAATATTTGAAAAGTTTGTTGATCTGGCATTTTAGTTAAAAAAAATAAATTATTAGCCTTTTATTACGTGCAAGATAGTTTTTAGATGTGTATGTTGCATAAAGAATCATAAAAATAATATCTACAATTCTCAACTATGATATTGCATTGTTAATATTCGGTGTGTACAATATTTATTTTTTTAACCTTGATATAATTTTGCTTTTTCATATTGTGATATGGATAAATTGTGATAAGGATATTCTCAACATTATTGGTGTGGGTTTGTTTCTGGGGTACAATGCACACTTCTTTTTATAGCTGGCAACTGGCATTTTAAGGAACACAGTGGAGGGTAGATCATCATTTCTGCCAAGAAGCTCATTTATATAAACTACAATATCAAGTTTAATTAAGGGCTACATTGACAAAAGAAAGCCAATTGCGTGTGCTCAAAATACTTTTCAGATGACAAATGACTGACACCCATAAAAACAATATCCGGGGTAACTGTTAAGATTATGATACTTAAACCTGACTAAAAAGGTGTCAGGCAGTATATTCCAACAGGTTAACATTCTATATGAATTAAATAAAACCCCAAAATGTATCAGACTTTATCTATTGCCTAAAATTCAGATAGACAGTCCAGATCTTTCTGAATAGAGGGAAATAATATATAACTGGCATTTAGGAGCATTTGTATCCTGTTTGTGTCACATTTTCTTTATTCATCTCTGTGAGATTTAATAATCAGTAGCTTTGTAACTTGCTTACAACAATGGCTTTATGATGATCCCTGGTTAAATTAAATGTGTACAGAAAGATCTGATGGCATGATTTATTTTCTGGTTGGTCCCTGCTCAGCACACTCAATGTTTAGGAAAACAGTCAAAACCTCTTCTGCTAGTCCACATCAGCATCTCTCTTCCTCTCTCTCTTTGTAGCCACCACAACATAAAGGGGGAGCTGATGCTAAGGATAATGGTCAAGATGATAGAATATGACAACTCTTTCAACTGAAGAGAGAAATGAGTGTCCCTAAGTGTTCAACATGAGCTTCTCTTTCCTCCCTGCAGGGCATCTGCACCACAACCACCGCATTTTTACACTTCTTCTTCTTAGCTTCATTCTGTTGGGTTTTGACAGAAGCGTGGCAGTCATATATGGCTGTTACTGGAAAAATTAGGACACGGCTTATAAGGAAACGTTTCCTGTGCCTTGGATGGGGTAAGTCCATAAAATTCATTTCCTCAGAGTCATTGGACTGAAATGTTTAATGCAGAGACAGTGTCAAGAATACTATCATTTTCTTTAGGAAACCTGAAAGATAATAGACAGCATGTTAGTAAAAAGAAATCTAGGTTAGGAGCCTTTCCGCTTTACCTCAAGCTCCAGCTATGCTGCTATATATTTTAGCACTCTTTTATAAATATTTTTTAACAAAATTTTGGAGATTTTCAGGAAAGTAGTGTAACAGTGTAAAATCAAAATTAAAAAAAAAAAAAGAACAAAAATTCACTGAATATTCATGAAGCCTCTTTCTTATTCACTTTAAGACCTGTCAAATGTACCAGTAGTTCAGCTACATCAAAGTGGTACACCATGAGCAGAAAACAGTGTCTTCCTCCCTGCCAGTTCTTCAGAAAATCAAGTCCTGTAATAGCACTGTGCTTCATTAAATTATTCATTCCATGAATAATGGCAGAATTGGCCATTTTGCATTAGCTTGCCCTGTCATTTTTTTGTCCAGGCAGAACAGCAATATTTTGGTCAGCATATGATGGTTATTAATGGTTTGGCTTTTTGCAGGTTTACCAGCATTAGTGGTTGCCATATCAATAGGCTTTACCAAGACAAAAGGATATGGAACAGCACACTAGTAAGTCAATCTGAAATGATTAATTACATTTTTAATTAACAAGACTGTCATATCCATCGGAAATTACTTAGCATAATCTAAAGTCTCTACAGGTATCCATTCACACTTGGAACTGCCCTAAGAGTCACTGAGTGGTCCACAAAAGAACAACGAGAAAACCATATGCCAGTCTTGGACTGTGCTCAGCAAAGTGCCAAGGATCCTGAATTTCTTGTGGAGTTTTGAAGTAGCAACACTTTTAGAAACTCTGAGGATTATGTCTACTTAGACACCTAAAATTTAAATACATTTACCAAAGAGAATATTCAATGTTACAGCTAGCCTTTGCTGACCTCCAAACATGTCTAAAACTGCACCAACAAGAGTCTCTGTAGTACCCAGATTTCTGCCTACCAAGCATGTACCATGGCTTTAATGGCCATGAGTTACTTGGACCCAAAGCCCTACAGAAATGTCAAAGCATCTCTCCCATCCATCCTTTATCTCCTGGAGTGCTTGATCCAGCCCATTTCTTGAACTGGGCTGTCCTTGAGAGACAGCAAGGAGGAGATTTGTGTACTTCTGCTACATTTTATTAACACAGTTCCTGTTTAGCCACCTAACATGCTCCAGTGCCTATAAAGCACCCTGGAAACTTCATTCTTCAGTAAGGCAGCACTTCAGTAGTCTCCTGATGAAGAAGGAGCTTGGGCTGAGCCGCCCTCCTTGCCAACAGAAGCTCCGACCGCTAAGACGTTATGTATGTGGGAGTGCATTTCCTTCAGTTGTCCTCTTTGGAGCTCTCCTCACGTTGCCTAAGAAATTAAGCATACATCTGGACAGAAGAGAGGAAATACAACTCTGTAGCTTGGTAATGAGGGCATTCATCAAAGATGTGGATGCGTTAGGTCAAGTCCTCACTTCAATGAATATTTAATTATTCTCCTCAGCATCATTACTGAGTGAGATCAGGATCCCCCCTTGCTGCCCTGTATCCCATCATCTTGGCATATGGTGGTGGTGGCTTCAAGACCTTGTTCCAACTCTGGGTGGATAAGGATTCACAAACAAATCTCCTCATGAATACTGTCCTTAACCACTGAGCTCTTAAGTTTGAAATTGTGACATTTTTCTTGTATTATTGTAATGAGGAATGGCTTACCTAACGGAAGGGCTTAACTTGCACTTATAGCTGGCACTCATTAGTGAAACAACAGCCTTAGCCAACTTTTGTTTTTTATATTGAGGACCTGCTCCTCTGACAATTTTTCTAACTAATATGTGCTCATATTGCTGGCTTTTTTATGATTTAGCCCTTGAACCAGGACTGGAGAACTATTTGGGCTGTGAGAATTATAAGTCACAAGACTGTGATGGCCAGACCCCATTTGGGATTTAGCTCTGCCCTGTGCAGGATCAATCCTATCGCATTTAGTCTGCTGAAATTATTCATGTGTGACCACTAGCTTTAGTTTGTGTTGCCTCCTGCTTCCTTCCAGGACTGAATGCATTTTTAAAAGAGGATATACCAAAATATTCAGACAAAGCAACAAATCATTCATTAAGGGTAACCTGCAAATTAAAAAAGAGCAGGTCTCTGTACATGTAATGGCTCCTCTCCCATGATCCAAATTCAACTGATACAGTGCCATGGGACAAAAGCACAGAAGGAAGTGTACAAGGGACAAACAGAACCATAATGCAACTTTTTCATGTCGTTTGAAAATACATTTTCTTGCCATTTGACATCAGACTACGATAAGAAAAACAGGAAATTGAGATTCCTCGTCCACCACAAGCTGACAGGCTGTCCCACTTTAGAAACCAGAAATGAATTGTGTCCCATAACAGCTGTTGGGTTGTGTAAAAGCAGAGCTCCTGTACTGCTCCTCCTCCCATAACTAATGGACTTACATAAGTTTTATAACTGCTAACTCTATGTTTGACCTGTTTGGGTGCAGTTACACACATGCCGTCATCAGAAATGTGTCCTGTTTCAAAGTATTCCTTGTGCGTAAGATGCTATTTTTTAAAATGACAATTCCAAATGGAGAAAATTAAGAGTGAAAATGAAGGAATTTATTCCAGTTTCATAGTCCCACACATGAAGAGACTGACCAAAAGGGAGAAGGCCCAAGAATCTTTGAAGCAAACCTCAGTTTGATAGGGTATTTGGCTGGTGGGAACGTCTTGAATTGTTCATACCTGAGTGGATTCAGAGATCAACAGTCTCTGATTCCTATCGTTTTCTTTCAGTCCTTACCATTAGACAGTTATATTATTCTACATTTAAAATTATTTATGAAAACTATTTCACACAGACACATGTACTGATAGAGAAGCTAAAGGGATTTCCTAAAACTAATAAAAAACACAGTGACAAGCTTTTAGATAATTCAGGGTATCTGAAAAAGATTTGTTTGTCTGAAAGCTTGGTTGTTTTTTTTCCAACTATTTCTGTGCATCAAGTAAATATTGTTGCTACCTGTCTTTGGATATGAGAGCTATGAAAGCACCACTAGTACAAGTTATAGTTAATAATCCTGTAGCACCTGCTCATGTGTGCATACAGTGCCATATATTGATAAGCAGTTCAGATAACTTCCAGGAATTTGTTATATCCGCAAAAATTAAAAATCTCTCATGTTTTCCTAAAAAAGAAAAGGAACCATGCTTCTGAAGATCATCAAACAATTCCCAAAATGTACAGGACACAGGAGCAAGTCTACAGATGCTTCATTACTCAGCAGAATTTTATGACCATGTAACATGGTCCCATAAAACCACCAGTGGAAGCTCTTAATACTAATCAATTTATATGGCTTTCTGCTATATGGAGATCAGGGAGAAAGAAGACAGAATAGGAGAACAAAATAAAAACAAATATAAAGCACAGAAAAAAAAGCTATCAGAGCAAAGAAAAAAAAGAGAAGAAGGAAAAAAATTGTAAAATTAAAAAAGACAGCAATCAACTTACAGTATAAGAAGACACCTGAGAATCTGTATTCAGAAAGTTTTCAACAGAAAATTATTGCAGGGAAAAAAAATGACTGGAGAAAAGTGCATTTCAGATTCATCAATTGGTGGAAATTGAATACATTTCAAAAATCACATCACACGTTGTTAAAAATCCAGATTGTTGAAAATCCACATTGTGTAAAGAAAAGAAGACCACCTTATATTTTTATCCAGTTCTGCCTCTAAATGGAAGTCACTCATTGGAAGAGCCTTTTTACTTGAGGGCATAGGACAGGGAGAGAACAGTTCTGCCTTGGTCATGAAGATTTTTGTGCTAGAAACTTTTTTATTTTAAGAAAACCCTTACTGACCCTTTTTTTTTTTATATCACAGGTCTAAAGTTATTTTTCAAACGTAATACATCAATAGTTTTTATGAGCTTATCTTTTTATCTCCCGGTAAACATGAACATTCTAATTATATGTCTTTGTTATGCAGAGGGGTCATCTTCCCTTAGTTTAAAAGTTCATGCTGGTAGGGAAATGCAGTCAGTACATTCCTTTCTTTCAGCAGTCCATGTTCTCAGACTCTCACAATAAATAACCTAGCTTTAGAAAAAAAAGCAAGAGTAATTGCAGAAATTTTTGAAATAATTTTTCTTTGACGTTACAAAAATAAATTGAATATTCTTTTTGTCGTTGTTTTTTGAGGTAGGATACAGAATAGCCTGAACATGTATTACCTTTTTAACAGTGAAGTAGGTAGGAACCATTTTTCTCTATTTATCATTCCAGAATTTGGCAGACTGATGTAGTTGGATTCATGTGGCAGGTTTCACGTGGCTTCATTGCAACAGGAAACCCTTCTCTTCTTTGCAGCTAGAATTCCAGCCATAACAGTCCATTGATATTACGATGTGCTTGCTTTAATTTACTTGGTTTTCAAAAATACAAAACCAGTACTGGAAAATAAAGAAGACGTATAATTCTGATGCAAATGTTTCTGGATGTGAGATCCAAGGAAATTACTTGAATGCATATACTTGAGTTTCTTATATGTAGGTGTGATCATGCATTCAAATAAACATGCAGTTCTCTGAATGTGTAATCACTGGGAAAACAGCACAGCTGCATTTGGTTCATCATGTGAGGCTCCTGATCTTTTGCAGATATGGAAAGCTTTACATCATGATGTATCAAATATTTAGAATTTGATTCTGTAAGTGCTCTATGTTTGGAAATCTGATGGTTTTCAGGGAAAATCCTGATCCAGTGTGACAAACTGCAAGATTAGTTAGCTAACTAGAAAATGAGTTTTCAGATGCTTTAAAATATACATTCAAATTGTTCACAAAATATTCCAGAGAACACAGAAGAGTTAGATCATATATGATTTGTCTTTAATGGGAATATTTTCTATAAGACCTAGTTCTAATAGCAATTACTATAGGACGTAAAAGAAGATATGTAGAATTTTTTTTTTCCTGAATTTCTGCGTTACAGGCACTTGACCTTTCACTGGTTTAAGTATAGAATGGTTAGAAATGGTAAGCTGGAAATGTTTCTAGATACCTACCTGGCAAGTCCTGTTTAGTTAACTCATCATATATAGTTAGAGGATATTCAACAAAGATTTGCAAACGTGTTTTGTATGATGCTTTTAATACATTTTAGGCATTTCAGTATACATATAATTCACAGTAAAACTTTGGAAACATTAACAATTGGTAATGCAAATGGCTTTCAACTCTTTACATCATCGTATCAACAAAGTAATTCTTTTTTGTGTGTGCATATGAATCTCTATGTATAGGATTGAACATACACTGACAGAACCTCATACTATAGTGATTATTAATGCTTTCTTGGCAATGTGTTATACTTATTTTTAATGTGTTAGTTTTTCTCTAATGTTCTTTCCAGTTGTTGGCTGTCTCTTGAAGGAGGGCTACTTTATGCTTTCGTTGGACCTGCAGCTGCTGTTGTATTGGTAAACATTAATATAATTTCCATTTTTTTCATATTAAATGATTGAATGTGCTATTTAAATTATAAAAGCTATAAAGTAGGATTACATTTTGCTGTAAATACTGAGCTCAGTATTGTTTAACATACCTTAAGTATTTTGAATGCATGATTAATTTAATTGTATCACTTCTTTCTACCAATTATTTCTCCATGTTTACACTTGTGTCTTTCACAAGCTGTGAAAGAACAACATATTCATTGGTGGCACAGAAAACTCGTTACAGGCATCACTGAGTTATTATCAGGAGCATCTACGCAACTGTCAGTGCCTTGTGAAGTTCAGTGACAGTCTTGAGAGAATGCTGCTTGGCAGTGCCTCGCCGTGCCAGCAAAAGCAGCAGGAAGAGTGGAACCAGCCAGCAAGTTCTCCATGGCTACTCCTTCTCAAGGCAAAGAAAAAAAATCATCATAGCTGGGAAATATTACTCTTTTGTGTATTAGTCCGCCACATCTCTGTGAATGCATTTAGATGTAGGATTCCCTTTGCCAAATTGTAAACATTTGCAATGTAGATTCAGCATCTAAACTAGTTAGCCATATTTCATTGTCAATGGAGAAAAATACACACATTTAGGGCTCAAACCATCAGAAGTCTTTCAGGTGTCTACTTTAGGGTAAGATGAATTGCACCCTACATGTGCTGTCAGCTATCAGTCATCTGCTGTGCAGCCTGTATGGATTTTTTACAATAATTTGTTTAGCATTTTTTCCCTTACAGCTTTTGAATCTAATTCTTCTTTCCACTCCACCAATTTTATACTAGGATAGCTCTATCAACACCAGTTATTTCTGATTTTCCCTTGCAAAAGGGAATCAGTCTTAGCACTCATCAAAGATATAGCCATTTAGCGACATAGATTTTTCTGAAATGGATGTTTACTACTCCCATAGAGTTTCTCTCATCATTGCCTGGAGTCAAGCCAGGATCCTTTTGTACAGCTCACAGTGCCTGTCATGATAGAGGAGCCAAGGATGTTTACAAAAAGCCAGTCATAATTTTCACATGGAACTGTATGTTCTCAGTGTAATTGGCAAGCTTTGTTCAGAGATATTTGAAGTTCACAGTCACAGTTTGCCCTGCCATTATCGAGTAGCTATGGAAGGAGCTGCTTCATGTAGCTACTTAAGCCTAAGTGTATGAAGCAAAAGAATTATATAACATCAGCTGAAAAATGTAAATTCTGAAAATAAAGTGATGGTAAGAAAAGCTGGGA